TGCCTGAGCAGGGGGTTGGACTAGATGACCTCCCTTCCAACTTTTTTTTTATTATTATTATTATTATTATTATTATTATTATTAGTATTAGTATTAGTATTAGTATTAGTATTAGTATTATTAGCAGATTTAACTAGGTATGGTAATTATAGGTATTACAAGATAGGTTGTGTGGTGCTTGTAATTCATGTATATTCTAGGAAAAGGTGCAGCTACTTCTTGAAGATGCTACATTCCCATCCCCAGAGCATCTTCTAGGAATCAAATCTGAAGTACCTCACTGCCCTAGTAAAAGTTCTCCTTGTGTAAGAGCATTCAATAAATGGAACTCTTTACACAAATCTTTGGATGAAATCTGAATTCAGGCAAGTAAAAGAGAGGCACAAGATAAACATCTACCAATGAAATTACATATATGTAGACTTTCTTAAGTATGATGACATCTACATTTCCTGGTACATGATAAGATTTTAGGTGGGTCTTCGTGATTCACATTCACAAATATTTAAGCATGTTGTTCCCTGTATGCTCCCTAATATCTAAAGATAAAGTAGGAGATAAAAAAGAGCAATATATATTTAAAGTGACCTTTGTGCAGCATTCACCTTGAATAGGAATGCCATAGAAGAGGTATGGTTCCCACCCCCAAAACTAACAAAAATAACAAAAAGATTTCCACACTGGAACAGAGATACTCAAAAAGACCAAACAAAGCACATGAAAAAGCCTGAAGCAAACATTATAACAGCAGCTGGATTCACTAAACCAGCATTAATGCAGAGAAATGAAGAAAAGGCATGCATCCATGTGCATTTGGTCCATATATGAATTTTGAACATTTTGTATATATTTTAAGAGCATCTGTAATGAACCCAGTCTGCCAAAATCAATCTGACATATCAAGCAATATGGTAGAAGTTTGAGAAATCAAAGAACATCCTCTGGGCATTTTGAATGGAAAAAACAGAATCTGAAGTTCTAATTAAATTATAGCATTAATCATTTTATGTAGAAATATATCTCAGCTTAGCAAGTTCTAAGATTTCTACTGTTTGATGTCATTTCTATAATCAGAAGTCTAATTATCTGCATATCCATAAAATCAAGATAACATCATTACCACAGAATGGATTTTTTTCAACTTTTTACATAAGAAAATATACAAAAATGGTTATAGGTTTGTATTCAATCATCCCTTGAAACTACCAGCATTAAACTGAGAAATCTAACAAAGAGATTGCAATGAAATTGAAAGAAACATATGTATTTAATTTACTTGTGTCTTCTTAATGACAGAGATGCTTGTTTACTTTACAAAGGTAAAATACCGGCTAAAGACACAAGGATCTCAACTTTCAAAGCACAATACTTTTTTAAAAAAACTTTAAATATACAAAGCAAAATTAAGTTACTCAGCCACATGCAGCCATAACACATGCAACAGAAATGGCCATTGTAATATTTAATATTTAGTGCCATTGCTTAAGATTAATTCTCACTGCAACTTGAGATCTTTCCAGATGTGACCTGATTTGAAGTACTGTGGCGACTATCCAATCAAGTATAAAGAATTATATACTGTCTATGATTCAGAATAAATCTAGTTTGCAGAGGAATAGCCATACTAGTCTGTTGCAGAAAAACCAACAAAAGGCCTTGAGCACCTTAAATTTCAACCCATTATCTTAAGCAGTGTATCTGTAATATTGATTTCCAAACCAGGGTAAGCCTAGTATCAACCCCACAGTCCATGGATTTTTTTTTTTCAAATGGGCATGTGCCATCATCCTATGTTTTCCATTCTAACTCTGAAATTTCATCAAGATTTGTTTAACTTTCACCTAGGCCAGACTGGATGTGCTGGCACTGCCGTCTTTTGGGGTCATTTTAAAAACATCCCTCTAGAGCAGCTATGGGACAGCTCCATGAAATCCCTGAGCCACATTCTCTTCTCTTGATTTCTTTATAGGGCACCTTGGATAATTCACCTATCCTCTATTAAAGGTATAACCCCGTGGTGGCGAACCTATGGCACGCGTGCCACAGGTAGCATGCAGAGCCCTCTCTGTGGGCACGCGCGCTGTTACCCCAGTCCTAGGCCTTCAGCTGGGTTTTATAAAAGCTTTTCGCTTTAGGCCTCTGCCGCCATGTGCAAAAAAAAAAGGTTCAATCAATCAGTCAATTTCAACTTCTCACGGGAAAAAAAAGATCTCACGAAGTTGGAATTGATTGAACTTTTTAGTCCCACCCAGTCTGCCGTTACCACAGCAGCCACGCCCACCCAATGGGCCACGCCCACCCGGCACCCAACCATACATAAGTGGGTTTTGGGTTGCAGTTTGGGTACTCGGTCTCTAAAAGGTTCGCCATCACTGGTATAACCTGTCAGAAAAACAATGCTTATTTGTTGCTTCTTTTAACCAATTAGGACTCTGACATGTCTTCCCCCAGGTTGCCCAATTCTGTGCTTCTATTTGTTCTCTGTGATCTGCGTACACTAAAGATTATTGCTAATCTTGGTTATCACCACTGTTACTGTATTTGTATTACATCAACATTATGGTCGTCTTGTTTTCCTGTATTTTATGCTTTCTTTTAACTCATATCTATAATTCTAAGTTTGTTTTTATGTAATGTTTTCTGGCTAAAGATCATGGTAAATGTTTGTTGTTGTTATGGATTATGGCATAAGCTTTACTACTATCATCTTCATCAGCTGTATGAAACATTGTAATCTGCAGGTCAGTGCAGGAACACTGCAGATTAGCAAGGAATTGGAAAGACAGATAAGTGGGACAGACATGCTCAAAGTGGAGTCATGCTTATACAATGGCAAATGGTAAAACAGTCATTGATGATGGCTAAATTAATAACATAACTTGTTTATCTAATACAATTTGCAAGGCTAATCTGAGTATCCTTCTTATGAAATCTTATGCATGTTATTTAAAACTTAATTTGCAGCCCATAAAATGCTAATGTTACCCCTTATCTGGCCTGATTTGTTCTATCCCAGCCAATATATTGAGCCTACAATATTTAGAATGCTTTGATCAGCACCATCTACAACCACGCAGATTCTGGAAGTTACAGTTCCAATGCTATGTTAGACAGCAGCCTCTCCACCCAATCTATAAAAGAATTGAAATACTTGAAATACTTTTCTTGCGGAATACAATAGTCTTTTGATTTCTATCATTCACTTTTGTGGCTGAGTTGCATTTTGCTTTATATATGCAGCACATGTGATTATTTCTATTACCGGGGTAACATCTGTACAAATGATATTATTGATTTTAATGGTTTAACAAAAATTAAGTGGCATGGAAGAGAAAAAGTAGGGATGCCCTGGACAAAACTTAGATTTGATGTAATTTAATTCATTTTTATTTTATTATGAAATATCCATTCTTCATGGGATTTCTCCCATGCATTTCTCTCACGTATCAATTATAATTAAGCAGCTTTTTAAGGGATTCTGGTAAAACCCAAAACTTTTTGGATGGGGGAGTATGGCTTTTTGACGCCCATTATGCATGTATAATTTAAATGGAAATGAAAAATATAAACATATGGTCAGTTAATGGCTATTTATTATTTATGACTACCAAATAAAACCTCCATACATTGGGCAACATGTTAATGAATTACAGGGCTTGAGGGGGAGAGTAAGAGAAGGGAGAACTGTTTTCATGCACAGCTTATGAGTTTGCAGGAAGGATCTGGCTAGTTCACCACGTAAATTAGTGAATGGCTCTTCATTTAATCTGAAATCATTATTTATTTCATGGTCTTACATTTCAACAAAGTGTCCTCAACACCAGCAGTTGAAAATCCAAGAGAACAGCCACACTTTGCAATATAAGTGAGCTTCACCCTAGCAGTACCATGCACATGTCCTGGCTTGCACTCCACTGCTTACTGCTCAAACTGGCTCAGCTAAAGTAAATTTAAGTTCATGAATCATCATTGCTTAGATCTCCATTAAAAAGTCCAGCAATGTCATTTAGTCACTACAGGGTGACAGAAAAACTAGGATACTCACTTTGGAAAATTACAGAAAATTATCAGACAACATGCCTTTTTGATTGATTTGTGAGGCTGAAGTAAGTGTCCAAGCAAACTTACATTGAATTCCAGAAGAACAGAGTTACAAAAAGTGTTTCACAAATAATGAACAAAGAGAACCTAAGGGCATTTTACTAAATGCACAATGAGGTTACAGCTATGAAGTTGGGTGAAATAAATTGGTATAAAAGTGCCACGTGGTTCTATAGGAACAGCAATTAATTTTGATTGATGGTGGCCCTGCCAATAATAAGAGTCAGGGGTGCAAAGTAATGTTGTGGCAATTCCTGTATCAGTGTTTCTCAACCTTGGCAACTTTAAAATGTGTGGACTTCAACTCCAAAAACATCCCAGCCAGCATACTGCCTGGGGAATTTTGGGAATGCCCACACATCTTAAAATTGCCAAGGTTGAGCAACGTGTCCTATACCAACCAGTCATGCCAGTTCCTAGCATCCTCAGCTGAAATATTGTAGCAAAGGATTTCATACAGCTTCCAATTCTGATTTTAAATGACACCACAAGGGGTCTCATTTTACACCTATACCCATTTGGCATGCTTTCCCGATCCCATTGGAGAGGCTTTACCCCACCTTTTCCATAAGTTTCTGATGTCCAGTTCTCAGGTTCTCTCATCACATGAACCATATTCCAGAATGATGACTATTCATGACAACTGCCAAAAAAAGCCCCTTTGCTGTCCTCTTTGCCATACCAAAGGTACTGCTAAGGCAATTTTTCAAAGGGGGAGGAACACATACAGTACCAAGTGAACCCTCTCCCACCTGCCTCCCTTCTCAAATTCTATCTGGCTCACTGTAGTAATAATAGCCAAATCAGTAAAAGGCTTTTTTCCATTGTCAGGACCCAGCAGCGTTTTGTACTAGTAGGCACCAAGGCCTCACTGCAAGCATTATTCATCCTATACTCACATAGTGCTTGGAAGGATTTCGCCTTTTTTCCACGTCCACCACATTAGCATCCAGTACAGTGTAGGACAGCATCTTCGTCCCCAGGAAAACCAGGAAACGCAAACACAGTCCAGATGTATCCTTGTATTATGATGACTGCGCTTATTCTTTGGCTCCTCAGCACTCAAGGAGGATTTCCTAGGAAAACAGAGCCTCCTCTCCCCTTAGCCCAGCTTTCTTTCCCTTGCCTGTACAAAAGGGACAGACCTCCAACTTAGCTTTCCCGAAGGGCCTACCGAATACTTATTTCCCTTTTTTTAAAAAAAAAAAACACGCGGGAAACGAGCAAAATATGGCCCTACGCCAGCGCGTCCCGCAAGCGCAGGCACACACACACGCGCGCTTCAAACTCTTCTTCCTCCTATGCGGGAAAATCTGAATTATCTTCAGTTACTTCCAATATTTCATCCTGGTGGAAAGGAACTCTTCTCGTCCCCACCGCATTGGAGCGGACGGGCGGCGGGGAGGAGTTCAGCTCTGGGAAAGGATCAAGTTCTGCACACCCCTCACATAGATCTCGCGTGCTGTTTGTCTCTCTCTCTGTGTGTGTGTGTGTGTGTGTGTTCTGTGTCTGTGTGCGCCCGCCCCTCTTGTTCGTTCTCTCTGCCTGCCTGCCTGCCTGCCTGCCTACCTACCTCTTGCCCCTCCTCTTGCCCCCTCCCGCCCTACACCGGAGTGAGTTGCCGTGGTGCAGTTATCTCCGGCCTCAGCGCCTTGTCTGACAGCGGCTGCCGCGACTGCTCCTGCAGCCGGCTTGGGGGAGGGGGAGGCGGAAAGGGAGGAAACGGGCAGGCCTGCAGAAGATACGGCGGGACTGGTTTGGATGGGGATGCGAGCGTGTCCGCGGCTCCCTTCCCCAGCTCGTCTCCGGATTCCCTTTGCGGCGAGCCGAGCAGGCGAGGGGCTGGGGGAGGGGGTGGCTGAGCAGGAGGGCCGGCTGATTGCCGGCGGAGGAGGAGGAGGGGAGGACGGCGCTGCCTACCCCCACCCACCGGCCGGAGAGCGGAACGGGGAGGGGGCGATCACCTCTCCGTGCCCAAAGCCCGAGGGACGCCGAGATGGGCGGCGGCCACTTCGAGCGAGTGGTCGGCCGGCAAAGGCTTGGCATAGGCAGGAGGAGGAAAGGGGAAAGAAGCGGGCGTTTCAGGCGTTCGCTTCTTCTCTCCCCACCCCGTCCTTCCCTCAAGCTGCCTGGCGACAAGAGAAAAAGTGAGACGGCTGCTGTGCAGCGGGAAAAGGAGAGAGATTCTCGCTTTATGCAATTTAAAAGAAACCCGCGTCGGATGCTCGTTTTTTTTTTCCCTATTCGGCGCTCTCCAAAGTGCACAAGAAGAAGTCAAGAAGTCTCAGTTGTCAACCAGGGGATTGGACTAAAGGGGCACCTAAGAGTAATAGTGGCGTTGGCCGGAATCGATTCCAGCCAGTTCCCCTCGAAAACATCTTCCCTTCTCTCTGAACTAAATTTAATGAATTTACCAAATCCTGTATCCTAAATGCAGCGAGATGCACGTAGGTTGTCCACCTAGGGCTCCGAATTTAAAAGTCTCCGGTGGTGATCTGCTCTAGACAATGAGCAAGGCTAGATGTTACTTAAGAGATTTCAAAATATAGTTACGTGTATTTTTGATGACAGAGGCTTCTGCTCCTGCTGTGGATGCAAATGGTTCCATGAAGCAGAAAGCAGAGTTTTTTGCTGAGATGGGCGGCTATAGAAATAATTTTCCAAATACATATCCAGATTTGCCCATGACATGAGAGAATTCAAGCTAGTGGGTGGATGCTATTTTCCAATGACCATAAGCCATTTATTTGGGTGGGATGGGGAATTTGTGGCCCTGCAGATATTACTGAACTAAAATGCCCAACATCCCATAAATTAGCTGGGGCTGGAGGGAGTTGAAGTTAAGCAATTTCTGATGGGCCAATGACTTTCCAGCCCTGAGTAAACCTGCTCAGTAGACTGCAGCATAGGCCAAATTTACTAAAATAGGCAATGAAAAGGGCTTAGTTCAACTGGCAACTCTTTTATCTGAAAATGAGATGGGAGGCAAATCCCTTTCATCAACTGTTCTCTGTTAAGCTTGTCCTCTCCTTAAGTTGCATGCAACCATAATTTTATGGCTTATAGGAGGAGCTTAGATGCCTGAGCTTGTGCTTTTCTGCCCTTCCCATTCTTTTTTTTTCTTTCATGTTGTATTTTTTTTTTTATCCTGTGGGGCGGGAACTGTTTGGGTTTTTTTCTTTTTCTTTCCACTGACTTGTAAACTTTTCACTGGGATTTATGGGCTGAAGAATGGGATATAGATGCTTCACATATCTAGATGAATTAAACATTCAGTACAATTATATTACAAAGAATCTCCACAGTTTATTCCTTCACCAGTTAAATCCATTTTTACAATAGGTTTAAATGCCAAAAACAGGAATAAACAAGCCTTTGCTTACTGGCTGAAAGACAAGAAAAGAGGGAATTCCAGTGCCTGAAGCAGACATCAAGATCTTTCTTCATGCTCCCATCAAATAGTCCAATCAGAAGCTGCTTTTTTCCTAGTAGGTAGGTGCTATTAAATAAGTTGTGCATTACTTGGAGTCTCTGATTTACTAGCATTAGCTCAGTAATAGTTTTGTTACATCAGGAATATTAAAAGACAGATCATGCTTTGCTACTGCTATTCAACATATCCACATTCATAACTCAGAAATATAGGTGGCGCTCAGCTTATAACAATTGGAACTGGAATTTCAGTCACTGAATGATGCCCTAATTAAGTGAGTTATCACATGACCAAACCCAATTTTATGATCATTTTTATTGCAGTTGTTAAGTGAAACACCAAAGTCATTAAGTGAATCACATGGTTAAGTGAATCCTATTTCTCTCATTGACTTTGCTTGTTGGAAACCAGCCGGGAAAGTTGCACATCATGATAATGTGACTGCAGGATGAGGCAACTGTCACAAATGTGAGCCAGTTACCAAGCACACAAATTGTGATCATGAGGCCAGGCTGTGTATATGATGGATGTAACTTTGAGGACAGGTTGTTAAGTCACTTTTTCCAGCACCTTCATAAAGCCAAATCATCATTAAACGAATGGTATAAGGCTATTTGTATTTGCTTCGTATGTACAATCCATGGCATTTACTCCCACTTCTCTGCTCCAAACCCATTATTTTTTAATTTTTTTATTCTAAACTGTTTGTATATTTAGAATTGTCTGGATATTTGTATATTTTATTACATTCAGAGTCACCTTGAACAGTGAGATGGGTGGCAAATAAATTTAATAGTAATGAATGAAAGAACTTGTCGTAACAGCAGAAATGGTGGAGAAAAGAACAAGGAAAATCAAGAATTGATCAGCACCAGGTAAAGAACTGTATGCATTTTGGTTGAAACATTTGCCCGGTTCTATGCTCACTATTCCCAAGCAGTTTAACAATATACTGTAAGGAGGTGGAATTGAAGAGTGGCTAACATCTGGAAAAACCTACCTAATAATGAAAGATGCAGCAAAAAGAGCAATATCAGGCAACTACAGATTAATTACCTGCTTACCAACAACTTTCAAATTGCTAATTGGTGTAGTGCTGATATAGTCCAAAAGCATCTAGTTCAAAACAAACTCTTTCCATCTGTCCAGAAAGGCAACTACCCCAAACAGCAGAGGAACAAAAGATCAACTCCTAATTGAAAGATGATTCTGGAAATAGTAAGAAAAGAAAGACCAACTTGAATGGATTGATTACAAGAAGACATTCAACTCCCTGGATAGGATAATCAAGTGCTAGAAATAACAGGAGTCAGTAGAAACATCAGAAGCTTTGTGCAAAGATCGATGGCACAAAGACATGGTTGCTGGTCAATGGTGATAAAAAAAAGGAGAGAGGAATCTTCCAAGACTCACTATCACCACTACTGTTTGTCATTACATTGACTCTTCTGTCACAATACTGAACAGGTCAAGCCATGGCTATCAAACATCAAGAATATCTGCTATGCTATCCCATCTCCTTCATATGGACAATCTGAAGCTGCATGGAAAAACACCATTGGGCATGGAATCATTGCTTAACACTGTCCATATATACAACCAATACATTACAATAAAGTTTGGACTGGACAAACATGCCATCAAACAGGAAAAATATCTTCAAGTATCTTCAGGTAGCTTGAAGGAATCAAGATACCCTATGCAAATAACATCAAGAGTCTGGATGAACACGATTATTACAAATATCTGGTCAGTCTTCAAGCTAGTAGCATCAAGCACACCGAAGTCAAGGAAAAGGTTAGAGGTGAATACATCAAGAGATGGAATAAGATCTTAAAGTCCAGACTGGGGAGGAAATACCATCAAGGTAATTAATATCTGGGCAATTCCAGTGACTAGATAGACAGCTGGAATAATGGACTGGTGTTAACTGAACTAAAAGCCTTGGATAGGAAGACCAGAAAAATAATGACAATGAATCATGCACTTCATCCATGCAGCAATGTTCCTTAGCAAGGAAAATAGGTCAGCATGGAATGTTGCAAGTACATCAGATAACTGAAGAAGAAAAAAGGGCATTGGAAGAATATCTGAAAGACTGAAGAAGATTCACTGAAACACCAAATTAAGAACACAAATGAGACATGGGAAGACAAAGCATTATATCGCCAGTACATTTCAAAAAATAGCAGGCAAAGCTGATAATAATAAAGCTAAGGGCAGGGAAAGTTGAAGAAAGGGACAGAGAGGCTAATTGTGGCTGCACAAATGCATACAAAGCCAGAACTGAGAGACCACAACAGACAGCAAGTGCCATGTCTGCAAAGAAGCTGAAGAAATAGTGGATCACCTGGTTAGCTGCTGCAAGAAGATTTCACAGATTGATTACAAACAATGGCATGAGAAAGTAGCAACAATGGTGCGTTGGAAAAACTGCAAGAAATACCATTTGCCTGCAAGCAAGAACTGATGGGACCATAAACTAGAGAAAGTAATAGAAAATGAAGAAGCTAAAGTGCTCTGGGATTTTAGAATTCAAACAAACAGGCCACATAACACTCTGGCCGTAACAACTGTCAATAAGAAAGACAAAAAAAATCTGGATAGTGACATGGCGGTACCTGGAGAAAGCAGAATAGAAGGAACTTCCACCTCAGAGTTAAAATATTATTCACCCATCCTAGAGGTGGCATTAAATGGTGCTGACATAATATTTGCTATTCTTATCCCAACCCTATCATATCCTGCTCATTATTTCTGAGTCATTGTCCTGATCAATGAATACAACACTCATTACAGGCAAGATTATTGTTTTTCTCCTCTGGCTTCATTGCCATCCCCTTTACAGAATCACCAGCTAGTAGTTTAAACTTCCACCAATCAGCGCATTGCACAGGGATGGGGAAGATCAGCCTTCAACACTCTGTTGGGATGTCTCTAGCTATTTTGTCAGTCTATCTCACAACTCATTTGAGCATCTCTTAAGGCAGAGTGGTGACATAAAGAAACATATTGTAAGACACCACAGCAAAGATAACTCAATACAGATAGTCCTTGACTTAACAACTGCAATTGGGATAGGATTTTCATTCATAATTCATGACAGTCATAAGTTAGGGTACCCATGTGACCTGATCTCATTTTACTATTTACGGAGGTCATTAAATGAATCACACAGTCATAAGTCCAAATCCTACAGTTGTAAATCTAAATCCATTCTCCCAAATGGCCTTTTTTGCTGGAAAAAAGCATTGCAAATTATAGTCATGTGACTGTAGGATGCTGCAACCAGTCATACATGTGAGCTAGTTGCCAAGCACCTGAAATGGAGTCATGTGATGGGGGATTGCTACAACATTTTATGATGGCCAGAAATAAGCAACAAAAGTTAAAGGTAAATATATGTACAATCCACAATAACAAAATCAAAACTAAACAACCCACTTGGTATGTTGTATGTGTCAGTTTAAGCCAGAAATTGGTTTGATTCTTTGGCTGTAAGAATCAATCATATTGTATAAACACAGCAAAGTGCCGTTTATTAATAGCAGTGTATGGCTTAGTGTGTTGTATGAACAGAGGCATTGTATCCTCCAAAATACATTTTTTGGTCCTAATTCTTATGCCATGGCTACTAAAAAAAAGTTATATGTCTGATAAAACTAATTAATTTTTGTTTAATTAATTTAATTGCAAGCACATAAGTAATCTGAGCATATTTTGTATGGCATCTAATTGAATCTCAGTCTAAGCTTCCAAGGCTAATATTGAAATATATAATTTAAAATGCAAGTTGTTGGGAGTAAAGTTACAGCATTTGTCTATTCAGAAGAGTATAGATTAACTGTATGTATAACCCAATTAGTTTGATTAGAATTGGCTAATGTAAGTTATCTTTCATGGCATACAAAATTATAAATTATCAGTTTATACCCCTTACCATCTTATTTCAACAAACAGGAAGTAAAACCCAACAAAACATTTTTATTTAGCTTTTAATAGAATTAAAAATTAATGTTAGGCTATCCCCTACTTTCCCAATCTGTCACAGTGATTGGGTTTTTTAGAAGAGTGAAATATAGATGGGGAAAGGAGTCTAGTATTCAAAGTTTAAGCGAAAGGCTAGCCAGGTATTTACTTTACATCAAATTAAAATAAAATGAATTAAATTCTAGGTTCTGAAGAAATTTGCAAAATTGTTTTACTGTTTTATTTTATTGTGAAGGAAAAAATGATACGTTGTATATGACAGTATTTATAGGGAAGAATATATTGATTTAACTCAGCTCTATTGCAAATGACAACTTTTGAAAACTGAGAATTTAATCAGGAAATAGTGGAAAATAATAACAGGCAGGCCTCCATGGTATTTTGTGAAAATATGATAAATCACCCCATTGTGATATAGGTGGCAAACAAATTTAATAAATAAATGAAATAATAAATACAAATAATTTTTGTTAAAAAAGAAAAGGATACAGTATGTAATTTTTTTAAAAAAACAGGTACAATACAAGGGATCATAGTACAACTCTAAGAAGACTCATATCTTTCTATAAACTGGATTGTACATCTTATGTGTTATAGTGAAGGTGGAAATAATTTTGAAGTGATTAATCTTGGTCAGATTTTTTTTTAGATGTGAAAAATCTGGCATTTAACAGAGGTTGTAGACTTTTTATATCCACTATATCTACACATATAAAATAAAATTCAAAAACCAGACTGGAAAAAATCACTATTGAAAATGCAGTTTAGTAGAAAGATATATCCTAAATACAATATTAAAGCTCTTCTCAGTGTGCTTTTGGAAAAGGAAATTAAAAAAATACTAGCTAGATTTTTTAAATATAGTAATTAAAGTTTCAAGATGCATATCTATCTCAGTCAGGAAGTACATACAGCTCTCATTTTGAACATGGCAAATCACCTTAAATTTAAATATGTATTTAAATAATTAAACATTTAAATATATAAAGAAACTCCTGTATTAAATGTTTTCCAAGTTTGTTTCAACAGCACCACACTGTGGTAATATACAGATTTGCAAGTTAGGTTACTTTTGCTTCTGTTAAGATCATTACCAACTCATAAAACGGATTACCATTAAATTCCATGAGAATCCAATGTCTATGGAAGAATAAAAGTGCATGATATTGTACTCTTGTCATCAAGGTTACAAGATAATACAATGAGGCTACAGCTTTAGTTTCAGAATAGCAGAAATGTTTTACCCTGTCTAAATTATTTTTATGAACAACCCCGATACTGTATTACAAAAAGAAAGGGAAACTAAACTTCCTGATTATCAGACGCTGCAGTAGATACTAAATAAGGAAATACTTGGTATTTTAAAAGTTAAGTATTAAAATTTTAAATATTTTAAAGAAAAAGATCTGAATCTTTATTTAAGAAATATGTCTTCCATACAGTTTGACAACAGACTTGGAGTTTTTCATTGTGGACTTATGGACTTGATAATCATACATTCTAGATGTCCAGTGGCTTCTAGAACACATACAAAGGGCTTTTGGTGCCAAAATCAGATTTGTAGATAAAACAAATTACTCTCAACTGTTAGAAACACTTGGAACACAGCTCTTACCCTCTAAAAACCTGATGAAAGGATGTACGGTAAGTGTTAAATAAAGCAGCTTGTTGGTTATCCCAACAGCATTCTGGAATATGGGATATAAAAGGGAACAGTACTGGTATTACAGGATGCTTTAACAACTTTTTAAAGGAAGATTGGTCATATTAAGGAATGTGTTATATCTTGAGTATTCTTTAAAAGTATTTTTTTTTTTACAAAAAATACTAGATAAAAAGATATAGTATTTTACTTGCTACCTGAATAGCTATTTGCAGACGGTGGCTGGGTAGAGAAGTATTGATGGTTTACTATCCATATTGTCAGAAGGCAGGCCTTAAGAGTGATTTGGTTGAGTTTGTCCCTTGTTGAACTCCAACAACACTAGTCTAGATGTCTCTTCTCTCATTTCAATTCCCTTAACTCTTCTGTGAACTACAGGGACTGATGGGATCCACAAGAGGAGAAGAGGCCACATAGGTACAATCTGATCCAATGCCTCAACCACCCTCTTATTCCAAGTGGCAACCGAGACTTCAGATGGACCAAGCAGCAGACCAGTAGGAATATTCCACAGTCTCTCTGAAACCTATCTGGGTCCATCAATTGCTGGTATGAACCAATGTAATGTGTCAACCCTCTTGAGATAAAAGTAGGGGTTTCAAACAAACATTTAGCTAGCTGAACTCATTGTTGCAAATAAAATAATACCATGATTGACTCTATTTCTTTTAGGAATCATTTTTTCATTCTCTATGATATGGTAGAAACAATAGAAATCTGATTCTAATCGGGCCCAAACTATTTATGCAGTTTTGAACTGTACAGACAGCAGATGCATTAACCATATGCCTATTGACATTAATATCCTTACATTTGCCTCTTCAAATACATAAGAACTAATAAAGCAATCCAATCAACATTTTTAAAATCCTTTCTAAATCCCTCAGATTGTGCCCAATTCTTTCTTGTAATTGGAATCTGGAGTATTTCTATAGGAGTTCATAGGAAGCTGTCACCTTAGATTTTGGAATAAATTGATAGTTCTTTCACCATTTTGACTCTGCTGGATGTTTTTCAACTTGTATGGAAAAAAGGACCCTAGATTTTAAACAGTACAGCTTCTCAATTTAATACTTAATTTTAATAGGTTTTGAGGGAGCCAATACAACACCAAACTGAAACAAGGAATCTCTGATATCCTTCAGTGTCCAGACTACTTATTGCTAAATGAGGAATAGTCAACAATTATATTCCACAAATTATTCAATAAGTATCTTGGCTGTGTGCCAAGCCTTTTCCTCTACCTATTTTTTTTTTTATTTTTTCTGACTTATCATTTTTACTTTTTTATATTGTCATTTTGGGAATTTTATTTTTGTGTTGTCGGTCTCTGGCAGAAAGTTAAACAAAACAAACTGCTGTTCCCTATACATGCTTTCTTTTCTTTTTTCTTTTTTCTTTTACTATGTGGTCCAAAGCCAAAGTTTGTTCTTTTTAATTCTATCTGACCACAAGGGGGCACTTGCAACATAATTTTATATCACTGTTTAGCACCTTTTCCTCTTAGACTAGAGAAAGTAGAAATGTTTCAGACAAGGATATCTACCAGGAATACCACAAAATAAAATGATTTGTATTCTGCATTACCTTCTAAATAAGAAAAATAGCTCAGCAGGTACATAGTAAAATCTTTGATGCTGTAGATCACTGGAGAATGTTTGACTCCAAGCATCCATTGTATTCCCTTAGATTAAAAGACTGTATAGTATTCTTCCATGGTAGTGACAACATCACTGTTGATCTCCAACCAATCAAGGAGACAACGGACAACAGGTTCAGTGATATAAGGATTATAATTTTGCTGAATACAGCAGAGTATGTGACGAAGGTGGCACCCTTTTTCAGCATCTGCAAATAGAAAGTAAGCATGGGATTATAAATGGTGGACTGTTGTCCTTCTCTTTGTTAAAGAATAGAATTCTTACATAGTCTTCCTGGTGCAATTGCAGAACTCATCATTCAGTTAGGAGGGTGGCATCTAAAGGTCTGGCACTTTCATTCTTCCTTTTTAATACTAACAGTGAAGAATAAATGAGTAGCTTAAGAACATCATGTCCTGGTTCTTGTATTCATTATTTTCAGACATGAAAGTCTATGTTTTAAACAAAGGAGTGAATAATCAGGAGTAATTGATTTCCACTTAGGATATTTTCTTTCTAATAAGAGGAAAAATTGAATGGCGATAGGAAGAGGGAAGCTTGTTGTTTGAAAAAAAATCCAAATTGGTGCTCATTCATCACATAACTGGCAATATTTTTTAGCTTTTAGGTGGGGTACAGTATAAGGTGGGTGGGAAATATTTGCATCCTGGTGTAAGAACTTCTATAACTTTTGTTCAGGGAAAAGAAGTAATCTGATATTCTTGTGGCTTAAGATACACCGACTTATTCTTTTTGTATTTTTTTTAAAGCAACACAAGTAACATTGCAAAAATTTGAATGTTTCTTCAGCAAATATAATAAATGTCATAGGATAAGCATTCCATTGTGACCGGTAGAGGTATCTATTGAGCAGTATCTATGAGTCACTGATGAGGAAACACAATATGCAAGGTCACTCTTATCCCACCTTGTTTTGATTCTTCTCCCCTGTCCTAAAAGAAAATGCAATTGTCACATATTCCTAATTTTGTCCTTTAATATGTTTCTTTTGTACCTTGATCTATTAAGGCAGAGGTCTCCAACTTTTCTCGGTTGGCGGACTGGAGGGAAAGGGATGGGGAACCATTTTATGCATACACTTGCGCGCACACACACAGCACCGTGAGCACACATGATGCAAATGGAGCAGTGCTAGTGCCCGCCTGACACTCACTAGCACTGCCCTGTTTTTGCTGCAGGGGCACTAGCGCCACCCTGTTTTCACCATGCGCCGCCCCGTTTTCATAGCAGTGGTGCTAACGCGAGTGGCCTAGTAGTGGGCCATGGTCCACAGGTTGGGAACCCCTGTATTAAGGCATCAGGGCTTCCTTAAATGAGCTCAAATTTAATGTTTCAGATTGCCAAATACATAACAAAGAAAGATTTTTCAATATTGTGCTTCTTTTCTTTAAAGATGCCTCACTTAAACTCCTAGAAATGCAATTTGGATCAATATAGAATGCAAAGAATCAGCTGGGAAGAGTAAAAGAGACAGTAAAAAGAAATGAGTTTGGGCAATTGATCTCAGACAAATATTTTAATACAGAAACCAAAAAGTATCTAAAATTATAAGAAAATATGTAAAAGAACTCCCTACAAGCATTTGCAGATAATTCCACTTTTTATATTGTGTGAATTATACAAATAAGAAATAACAGAAAATATACTTCTGTTTGCAATTAAGATAGCGAGCCTACTTACATTTTGGTCTCTTACAATTAGCTCTGATAACTTCAAGAGTTACTTTGTGCAATTCTGTATCCTGTTCAGTAACCTAAAATATAAGGATAAATTGCTAAATAAAAAGGTTTACAATTCTGAATAAGTCAGACTTGATTCATCAGAAATGTTCAAACAACAGATTCAAATTTAAATCACCATTTACAAACTACAGTCATGAGATTCTTATATTATCTATTTACTACTAAAATGATTGTGCCTTTAACTCTTAATTGGGCAAAACTATGCATCATAGGGCATTTTTTTTCCAAAATGCCTAACTTACAGAATACTGGGACCCATGACTCCCAAAGAAAAGAAATTTGGGGAATTTGTGGTTGCTTCACCACTGCAGGGCTGCTGCTTCACTGCTGCGCTGACCCAATCAACTACAGCCAGATGATTCACATTTTCAATGTTCCCTGACAGCTTCCCACAAATTCACGGGAGTGCCACTACCTATGTTCACACCGCTCATACTGCACTCCCTTGTTTCCTCCCCCAGCTGGTAATAGCCACTTATCGGCCTTCTGGAAAGAGAAGAGAAGGGAAGGGAACAGAAAGAAAAAAGGGGAGGGAGGGAGGGAGGGAGGGAGGGAGGGAGGGAGGGAGGGAGGAAGGAAGGAAGGAAGGTAGGTAGGTTTCAATGCTCGCTGTCAGTTTCCCACAAGGAAACTCAATGGGCAAGCTGACAGATAGTTGAAAGTCATTCCGTCTCACTTATTCTTTGCCCACCCAAGTTCATTTTGTTTTTCTGTTTAGGTAAGGAAATATTTCTGAAACGATAAGCCACAAGGGGCACATGTTATCTAGTGCTATGCTGAAATGTGGCCGATATAAACTCGGCATATAACAGTACTATTCAGCCCAAGATTTCTACTTATTGATACTATATGCACTCAGCTCCAATTTCTGTTTGAAAAAGAAAATTCTTTCCTTCCACATTTTTAATGAAGGTACCCAATCTGCATCTCCCAAAGTTACATATGAAATTAAATGTTCTTGTATCTATTTATCTAATCATTCTACCCATTTCAGATAATCTAAAATGGTATTTTCAAACTGTGCTATTCATTTGCCAGTAGCATTAGCTTGCCACCAGCATATTCCATATAATAACCAAATGTAAATAGAGTAGGATGCAAGAAAAACTATACGGCCTTCAATACTTACATAATACATATTCTGGGGAGTCTTTGATTTTTGAAAAAGAACACCATCTTTCTGCAATAATTTTATTGCTTCCATGAATGACTCTCTAATCAGTCTGGAGCATGGACCAGCTTTGGAACTTGTCTGATGGGAAAACAGTAAATAGCAGATAACATAATGGCATAAGAAGGTACGAAGACAAGTTATATGCCTGTTTAGGCTATTTATTTCATTTCTTAGAGTGAGAAGACCTTACCTTTAAATAGCAAACTCTTTATCCTGATGATTAAATAGACTGCAACTAGCAGTATTTCAGAAGTTAGAAAAGTTTGCTGCCTAAGCAATTTACCTAAGGAAGTGCTGATGAATTATTAATATAATAGAAACAGTAAATGAATGAAGTAAAAGATTTACCAGCGGAAAGAAAAGAGCTTCCTAATTATTCCCTTTGGAATAACTGAAAATAACATAACTGAAGTCAGGCTGTAATTAAAGTCATTATATAAACTGGCATAAGGCTCAGCTTGGACAGAGTTGTAAATCATGAAATACTTTGGAGTGATAGGAAAAGTACACAAGAAATGGGTAGCAGCTTAGGAAAAACAACAGAGGAACATCTTAGGAAACCTGACTTCTGTGGTTTTCTTAACTTTATGTTCCCCTCTTAAAGAAGTAATGCAATATGGTTGAGCCAAGCCACACTCCTCCTTTGTTTTCATTATTTTTATTCTCTGAAAGACATGGAGTGTCTGGTAATGATATGCCAGTGGAATAGCAGGGTTAAAATGTTCTGTTCTGATTTCATTTTACTAAAAATAGAAGCTCAGAGCAGCGTACATATTCCTCTTTTGTTTATCACAATCATTCCATAAGATAACTTAGGACTCGCTCAAGGTCAGTTTCTTATCTTCGTGGCTGACATGGACTTTAAAATGCTACCATCCAATTGTAAGTCCAGTATTCATCCACAGAAATTGCTGCGCTGTTCCACCACATTGTAAGTTCTGCCAGCTTGGGGTGTGTGCAATATTGCATTACACAGAAAAAAGGATGGGGCTTATGACTCTGAAATGTTCCTGACGTAAGTCTGACCTCCTACAGATACTCCTGCTAAAACTCATCCCTGCTGTATAGTATTACTTGATCTAACTAAAGTTTTAGCCACAGAAGGAGTGGCTGAAAGAATAGGAAACAAGTATCAGGAAGTGATTAGATGGAAAACATATAGAAGATAGATTAGAAAACTCAAAAAGGAAAACATTAATTCTACTGTACTCTGGATGTGTAATCTAAACGAAAAGCCCAGATACTCTGTCCTCAATAATATTTGATTAGTTATTAGGAAGACTGAAATATTTCTATAATTCTTGTATGCTTTTTTAGCTCAAAAACAAAAATCATACTGGAATCTGTTCTTATCTGTGTTTTGTTACAAGAGCATACAGATAATTTATAAACTGTACTACACGCTAGTGAACTTCATGTTACTCTACCAAGTTGTATCATCTTAGTATTGTCTACAATCAATAAATTTTGCTCTTTCAAAACCTTTATGAGCCAAGATTTAGGCCAGAATGGTGTTCATTCTTATGAAAAGTGTTCATGAGGCCATGAAACTCTAAGGCACACATACCCAGCATAAGTGGATAAACTCTTTTTATATACATTTCATTTCATTATGATACACATATTAGAGCATATTAGAATTTTTTTAAATACATAAGATTTGCCAAGCTCAGTGAGTAATTTATTAACCCAATGATTTCTATAGACATCTATGGCATAATAAATATATTTCTCTTTAAAGTACTAACAAATGTTGGTCAATAAACATATAGATAATCCTTGACTTACAACCATTTGTTCAGCAGCCATTTGAAGTTGTGACAGCGTTGAATAAATAATGCTTATGATTGATCCTCGGAGTTCCAACTATTACAGCATCCCCATGATCACATTATTTTGATCTGGGTACTTGGCAACTGGTTCGTGTTTATGATTAGTTGCAGTGACTCATGATCACATGATTGCCATTTGCAACCTTCCCTACCAACTTCTCCACTGTTGCTGGGGTAAATCTCCCCAACCTGCATAATCTCTTCCCGCCCATCTGTGCTTGAGCTGCATCAACCACTCATGCAGCCTCCCTGGCCTGTGCTATACCTCTTCTGCACTCTTCCCAACTTGTACCACATCTTTGTGCACCCCTTCATACCCTCCTAGACCCTCACCATGCCTGCTCATACTCCTATGGACCCTCGTGTTCCTCTCCAGCCTAGCCATAGCCCCTTGCCTGCCTGCTGGCTTGAGACTAACAACTTTGTGTTGGCTGCCTCACTGACTTTGGTTATGACTTTGGTTAAGCTGCCCATGAAATTCAGTTAATAACAGCAACTTGGACTGCAGGGATTGCAGTTTATAGCTGCATCACTTAATGACAGAAATTCCGGTTGCAACTGCTGTTATAAATTAATGATTATTGTACACTACATTTTTGATAGCCTGATTATTAAGACTGAAATATATGAAGACTGACTATATTGAAGTTGTTTGCAATATGTACAATTTCTATTTGTTGTCCAAACAAAAGAGTGCTCAGAGGTAGACCTGAAGTGAGAGATACGCATTTGAGGAATAAAGAAAATCATCCATTCAATTTCCTATCAGTAATCAAATTCTTTAAACATGTTAGAGAAATTTTAGTATCCTGCAGCCTTCCTAAACAATTTGAGACAATCTAGCTGTTCTCATAGTAAGGAAGTTTTCCCTAATCTATTCCAAAACTTGCCTTCCTGTAATTTAATCAACTTCCTCATCTATAGTTCCAATGTATATTTGTTCTATTAAATATTTGAAGATTGCTATCAGACCAAATTTTTCATTCAGTCAACTTTCCATGGGGATAAAGTGACATAGTTTACTCTCCCCGTTTATTAGTGTCTTTTGAATGTTGTGCAGTTTTCTTTAAAGAAGGTTAATTAAAAAATCATAATATTCCAACTATATAGTGACAGGAGACCGATTGAAAATTGACAAAAATACATAATCAAATGCTGTTTCGTGATAACTAATATGTTGCATTATTACATAAATAGCTTTGAGTAAATTACCTGAATACAGGCTGATAAACCATAATACTTTGATAAAAATAATTGCTTATGAATCCTTTGTTTTAAAGTTGGATGCTATTGAAATATATGGTAATTGTCAGAGGAAATTCCTTCTTTCTGTTCCTTCATAGTTAGTGGATTAATTGAGGTTAGATTATATGATTATGCAAGAGCTCTTGCTATTTCTCAGCTGATAAGAAATAAATACATCACAAGAAAAGAATTAATTCTGCTGTAGTACGAAGTGTTTCTGTATGTTGTGTTTAAAATTAAAAAAGATAATTTAGTCAAGATATTGGAACTTTATCCCAAAACTAAGAGTAAAAATAGAATTGTTGATTCTGAGGATGCAAGATTAAAGGTGAGGAAGACATTCTGTCTCCACAGGAACTGAGCTTGCAGTTCTGAATGAAGATGGAAGCAGAAAGCTCTAGAAATTCAATATGCATTATGAGAGGTTAACAGACTAAGCTCCTTTATACATTTATTGTTTGATCATGATGCTTTTAGAAGATAAATCTATAATTTGAGTTTAGCTAGGAAGCTCAAAGCCAACATACAGTATGCATTAAAAGAAAATATTACAAAAGAGTACAGATTTAGTGAAAATGAAGAGAAGAGAAATGAGAAAAACCAAGAATTAATATGCATGATAGCTAAACATTCCATATGAAAATGGCAGCTATTTTGGTTGCATTCAAAAAAGGGTTGGACCTGTTCAAGAAAGTCATGGAAATCAATGGCTATAAGCCTTGACAGCAGTGTGACTGCCTCTGAAAAGCATCTGCTGGAAGACATGTGGGCTTCCTTGTGCAGTTGGTTGGGTACTGTAAAAACAGACCAGAAGTACTAAATGAACTAGCATTGCTTATATTGTGCTCTTATGTAACAGGAATGTTCCTAAACTTGGAAAATACTGTCTTCTATAGGGAAATTGATTCTGATTGGTGTGCTTGGACAAAAGTAACATAGGATACTAAAAAAAATTGAAAAGGATATTATTCACAATTTTAACAATGAGCAGTTGGAACTGAGGAATGGGAGTTGGTAAGATTGTGAAATATATATAAACAAACTCCTAACTTGCTTGAGCACATTACCAAATTAGACTAACTTGAATATTTAGGAGTGCTTAATTTACTGAGCTGATAATTTTCAGTTTCAACCAGAATTTATTATAATAGCAGCTGACAAACTGAACTGAATCCTTCTGTACTATTTGCTCCTTTTGTTTTATATCAATGTGAAAAAAGATCAGCAGAGTTCTTGTTTAAATTAAAATCCATTTAATTACATTTCAATGACAAACATTTGTTTTATAAAAACAAATGGTTGTCAGGAAACAACCACTAGGAAAGAGTTCACAGAAGCCTTTGTAAATGAGAGATACAGTTTTATTGTTATTTCAATTGAGTGATCATTTTTGAGGGTTGACGTTAAAAAAATAGTGTAAAGAAAAGAAAAACTTGCCTAAACATTTTAATTCTCTTGAAAGAAAATTGTAAGATCTAAATTAAACACATTGATATCTTGCTATAACACTACCAAAAAAATAATTTTAAATAATGTTTGTTCTATCCAGAATTTCAAATGATACAAGTATTTTCTGCATACTATGAACTTTTTATAAGCAAATTCCTATTTAACCAGAAGTGCAATGTAAAACAGAAACATTATGCTATTGAAAATCAGTCAAACTCTCAACAAGAATTTACTTTATGAACAATTCTGATTTCAATTAGAGGTTAGTGGCTTGGAGACTCCTAAATCTCTCACCCCTAAGATCCTTTCCAAACAAGTTGAAATGCCCAGGAAGCAATATGATGTGAGGCAGATGTCAGAATTCTCTGATAGAACATTACAATGAATGTCCCATCTTTGTAAGAAATTGGGCCTTAATTAACCTGCCCTTAAGTTCAGGAACTTGTAAAACTTGTAACTTGTAAAAGGCATTACTTGTAAAAAACATAAAATTCCAAAATACTCTCTAATATAATAAACAGTGAGTTAAAGATGAATGTTGAAATCCAACATATAATGTTGCATTGTAGTTTGGTCTATATATTTAATAGGTTATCAAAAGACACTTAAAAGCCATGCATAATATCAGTTATTTCACCCAGCTCCTGGATGATTATTAAAATCTCATTAAAGCAAGTGTCTAGATTAAAACACCGGGTTTAAGGATGAGCCACAGTTAAGAAAGGAGCCTAGTGTAGCAAAATTTAACACACACGGTGATTCAAGTTAAATACATAATGCTTCAAATTCATTTCACAATACTACTTAAACCAGAGTTCTCCAACCTTTCTGGGCTCACGGCCCAGAGGGGAGAGCAGCTTCCAAATTACTGCATGGGCATGCGCGTGCATGCACGCAAATTGGGCCACACCCACTGGCACATGCAGGAATGGCCGCACCCCCTGCAACAGTTAGCGCCCATTCACGCATGCACAAATGGGCCACGCATAAATCCCCTTGCACTAGCAGCCCGTTCATGCATGCGCAAATGGGTCGCACCCCCGTGGACACACGCCCATTCGTGCATGCACAAACAGGGTGTGCATGCCCCCATGCTAGCATGCGCTAACAGGGCCGTGGGCGCTAGCGCAAGTGGGGGGAATGCACACCCAGGTCAGCCATTTCTGCGGCCTCCTGGCCAAGAGTCTAGGCCGCAGCCCATAGGTTGGGAACCCCTGACTTAAACAGTAGTATACAATGATACTGTCCCAGCTTATATACAAATTCCATTTAAGAACAGACTTTGGAAATGGAACTCATTCTTAAACTGGGTACATCTAGTATTAATTTTTTTTAAATAGTTTTTTAATTGTCATAACTTGGGTCTAAAACAAGAAGTATACAAATTATTAGGCTGGCACTCCATTAACAGATGTGAATTTTATTTTTTTAAATATGCAACAATTGTCTAGCCCTAACACTTAGTTCATTCTTAATTAATTAATTCTCATAACTTCTCCTCAGAAGAAGAGAAAAACTTCTTAGAAAGTCAACTTTACTCACTTGCTCAGCAGTGGTACCAAGTTCATCTTGTTTGGCCAATGATACCAAATCCTCAACTGTTTCTAATTCCTGCTTATAGAAGCTCTGAATTTTGTTCTTCAATAGAAAATCCCTTATTTTTTTACTCAGATTCATAACAGAACCCAGTTCATCTGATGCACCATGATTACTATTAATAGAGAATAAATAAAATTAAAAATGCAGAGAAAAGAGTTTGAACAGAGACCAAAATAAAAAAGTGTCTAAAACTAATAATGAAACTATAGGAAGCTTTCCAGAACTGTTGAACATCTTGTAGCGATAATACATTCTTCACAGGTAAAAATGCATGCATTGATTTAAAAATGCATTCATAATACACTTGTAAAATTACATATATAGCCAATCCTTATTTAATGACTACTTCAGATTTTTACAAATGCAATGGCAGAAATAAATGGTAGTAAAAAATCATTTTCTCACCAATATGCATGCTTAGGACCAAATTTCTGTGCCTGACATTGCATTCTGGAGTTAGATTAACACTGGTGTTGCTGTACAAGACAACGTTATCTAAATAGAGATCACAGAATTTAATGATCTTCATAGTAGCTGTCAATCATATGGTTTGCTTAGTAACCGTGTTGCTTAATGCTATTTCACTGGAACGGATTGCAATGGCTAAATGAGGACTGCATATAATTTTGGAACTAGATGGCATGATTATTACCTATCTCAGTTTTGCTATTGGCACACATGATAAGAGAGCACACTAAGCACATCTCTGCTTAAAATGTGGCTGACACATTTGATTACTGCCAGCTACTGTATTGTTTTGACCTTTTTTTCTGGCTTCTCCAACATGACCTGTATGATTGGGAATTATGTGAGTTGCACAATATATTTGGAAAGAAATAGATCTTGGTTGATCTGTCATGGAGTATCTGAAGCTCAAGAATTGGACTTGAAAATGAGAATATAAGTGGCATATTTAGGAAAGATGTCCATTTATTTTACTCAATGTGGTGCCATCTTGAAAGCCCACTGATAGTCAAGGGTGTAATACTTCTTTTAATTTGCCAAAGTTTACATTACAGATTTAAGATGATTTTGCTGAATTCATCTAAGAATTTATCTATTTATTCTAGGTTTATCAACTATATCTCTTTCTTATTTCATCCTATATTTATTGATTCCTCATCATTCTTCCTGTTTCCATACAATGCTTCTTATAAAATAGCCTGTTCCATTGTCTCTAACTGGGATTCACATTTCCATGAATTAACAAATTAATACCATATCAAAGCTGAGTTATCAATATGTACCGTATAGTGTTCACTGACCACTGTGTTTCTTCCGGGAACTGGAATATCTTATCATAAATATCCCTATATAAACGGGGAACTTCTAGCATTCTGGAAATTTGAGTTTCATACATAGGGTCATCAACTTTATCTGAAAAGATATGAGAAATGTAAATGTGTTGAAATTGTTAATAGTGCTTAATCGTGCTAAAAGATTATTTACTACATTTCATATATAAAATAATTCAAAATTCATCAATATAAGAGGAACTACATAACAGAGAAAAACAATCTTTGCTGAAAAATGTTCAGATTACAATTTGCAACTTTAAAATAAAGATAAAAATGCATACTGCTGTAAGGTAATTACTCACAATACATGGAAGACTTAATTTCCCGTTGTTGCCTGTAAATTCGAATGTAACCACGGACTCTGATTAGATCACCAATTTCCAGACTTGTTTTTTTTCGAATTGTTATTTGGAGATTTCTTATCAAGTCAGTTAGATTCAGACTACTTAAAGTACTAGGCTGAGTTTCCAAATCTGCAAAGAAATATATACATTTCATAAAGTGCTATGTTATTAATAACAATGTTCACGATAACATTAAAGACATTTTCTCAAGTACTACAATTGTGCAGGTCATGTGTCCACAGAGATGTATTTTTTCTCATTTAAAAACTGCCACTCTCCTGTTTAGGAAAGCAGAATCATGATGAAAAAATAAAACAAAACAGGGATAGATAAAGCTATAAATTTCTCAATTTTCTTTTCTTTTTTCTTTCTGTGACATGTATTTTTAGACTTATTATTGAGCTTATGTTCTACCCCAAACATTATCAACCTGGGAGTAGTATACATATCTGACCTCCAAATACCAGATTAAAACATACTATTATTACAACTATAATAAAAATAGCATAAAGTGCTATAATACCTATACTATACTTATATATCAAAGAACATATAACCCTTAACCAAGCAAATGCCCCATTCTGAGAGGAAACAATGCTACAACAGCCCATATCTCAAGGGCTACTACAACAATAAAAATTTCATGAGTAAGCACGATATGAAAAGGCCAAACAGGGAAAGGTTAGTATCTGAAAACAGCCATGGCTGCAGCATATATTGAATAAAAGATGAAAACATCAGCCACAAATATTACCTGGCAATTCTTTCTTTTCTGCTAAAGCATTTTTCCAACAGGTGCAGCTTATTACGCCAGTGCTATCATCCACTAGAAAAGAATAGTGATAATTTAGAATCAGTGTTTCTCAACCTTGACAATTTTAAGGCATGTGGACTTCAACTCCCAGAATTCCACAGCCAGCATTGCTGGCTGTGGAATTCTGGGAGTTGAAGTCCACATGCCTTAAAATTGTCAAGGTTGAGAAACACTGTTTAGATCATTTTGATAGATGTTTTTCCCCTTGATCTCCCAAAGACAAACGACTTACATTTTAGCCAGTGATATTGGGGTTTAAAACTCTACCAGCTTCTTCTCATCCACTTTTCTTAGTTCTAAAAGTTACTATTTCCTACTGTAAGGAATTAATATAGAAACTATCTTTCTACTCATAATAAATGATTCTGTCTTCTTGCAATCCTTATCTGGGATTGATAGAAGCATTTGTAAAATGATATCAAAGCAGATTAACAAGTATTTGAGGTAAGATGAGCGTATCTGTTTGTGGAGTAATATATATCATTAATGCTAGTCTCCTCATAAGCTGAGTATATATTGAAGAGCAGCTGAGAAAAGTGTTATTCTTAACCTTTCTTGTAGTGGTTTAAAAGTCTGCTTCCATTATGCATGACTTTCTATTTCTGATCATTTCTATTTTACTCTCTGTCTATAAGGAACCATTTTTGAAAATTCTGCAAGTCCTATCCTTCTGTTCTGTTAATTATTGAGGTGCATTATGTTAGCCCTGTAAGAAGTATTGTGATTCCTGAGAATGGTTAAAGTCTGGCAATGATTTAGCTCCTCCTTGCTTTCCTATGCACTTTGCTAGTTACCAGTAATTGTGCATTATTCAGTAATGAATCACAGACTCTGTAAGAAACTTTTTTCTTTGATGATGAAATTATTATAAATAATGTTAAGGTAAATTTCAGATTTTTCCTTAGAAAAATAAAAAAGAACTTCCTATTTCTTTCTCTTGCAATTTCTATGCACAAACAGGAGAGTTTCATGAATCATTTAGGCTTGGCAGCTGATGCAACACTTGCTATTCAGCTCACCAGCTGCACAGCCTCATTTTTAAACTGAAAGGGAAGTTGCAACTTATTTTGGATAACTCAGCTTGATTGTGGCTATGAGAACAGGGAGGGGCACATTGGTACACAGTCTGAGAAATGAACTAAAAATAGTCTGACTATGTGGAGAAACAGAGAACAAGGATCGGAAACAGATAACTATTCCCAAGAAAATACTTATTTTTACTTATTTCAGTTTGGGCAGCAATAAAAAACTGGTTACAAAATGAAAAATGGAAGATTTACAATGAGAGTGAAGAAAGGATGATCAGAAAGAGAAAACTATGCATTAATAGAGTCACAGTTTCTCTCTTTCATACCCAGAGCTTCTGAACTACTAGAAACATTCAAGGCAAGAATAACACTTGCATTCCTCACATTGTTTAGATATGCATAAATTCTTGGCATAAAGCAAGTGGTATAGTTTAACATTTAATTTAGGCATACAATAGTTACTATGCCTTCTTATACATTCCCAGAAGGCAGTACTAGAAGAAAGTTACTCCATTCCCACCCCATGCTCCAAAGCTGAACAACAGCACTTGCTTTATGCCAAGAATTTGGGTATATCCAAATTTAATGTGAGGAGTGCCTCGGGAAGATGTTTCCCTTTTGATTCATAAGATCAAAGTTTCTGCCTCTTAGCAACTATCTGAAATCAATGGCTTTGGTCACCAAAACAATTAGGTTGCAGTATTATCAGTATATTAATAGGCAGGTCATTTTTTTATTTTTTGTCATCCATCTCTGAGAGGAAAATCTAAAAAGATGTCAGAGAGAAGTTTTGAAGGAGATGTGAATTAACAAACTGAAGGTTATTCCAGATGTCAATCATCATACATGCCATTGAACACAAAGGAACTTGTTTCTGAGTATATGTGCATAGGCTTTCACTGTTAATGGAAGCAGTATTTTGAATGATATAAACTTGATCTATAATTTATATAATTATATAAACTATAGTTTATATAATTTATAAACTATAATTTATATTTTTCTATATATTTGATTTTGTAATGACATTAAACATGGTGCAAGAAGATAACTTTGATGGAAACATGCAGTATATGTTGCTTGGGAAAAGAGCTTGAAGCATTTTTTTAAAGTTATAAACAAGATAAAATTCAGAAGCAACTCAGACAAATACTTCCTTAATTCATTGAACTATGAGGAGGAGGAGAAAGGTATACAGAACCATATTAATCAATCTTAATATAAATAATTCTAACTTTCCTATAGAGGTGATTTCCAGTTTGGTCTACCTAGAGCAGGGGTGTCAAACTGCCGGCCCACGGGCCGGATGCATCATGGCAAAACCATGCCCACCCCATTGCTGGCAATGGAAAAAAAGTTGCGATATGTTGCGACACGTCACATGACGTTGCGAGTTTGACATCCCTGACCTAGAGGGACTGACACATATATTTTACACATAATTAAAGACAACTTTCTCTAGAAATATTGATTCTACAGAATTCTAAATTAATATTCAGAATATTAATCCTACTAAAAATGAAAATAAAACTAAAAAACAAACATTTTGAATTATCAATTACCTCCATAAATATAAAAGGAATCTTTTTCTTTTATTAATATCACTGTACCAAAAATATCCACTTGTCTTATTGGATGTCTGTTGTAAAAGAATATACCTTAGGAAAAAACAAAAAATGAAAAGTGTATAGTCCTAGATTTAGTCCTTTAAAAAATATTGTCTTAATCCCAAAAACTACTAACATTTTATTCTTAATCAACTAATATTAATTTTAATAACAATTTCACATATCCTGATCAAGAAATTCAAAAGATTATTACCACTGATATAAAACAATTGATCAAAGTACAGTTTAAAATATTTTGATTCATTAGTTTGACTACGACAAATATGTTATATTTAATTCAAATGTTTTAAACTTATTTTGTAATTTAAGACAATGAAATTCGATTAAACTTTGGTAAAAAAAGACAAACCATAGATTCACAATTAATAGGGTATAGACAACGTACTATCATAGGCTTTACCCTGCCCCAATTTGTGTACCATAATTTGTATACATAAAATTATCCCTTAAACTTTCTTCAGCAATAGCCATTTTCCACATGAAGTGTTATATTTGAGTAGCAGCTCAGAATATAAATTACTTATAGCTTCAGGGAGAATAAAAAAAAGTCAAGTTGGTAGCTGAGGCAATGCAATTGAAGCCCCATTCCTTTGTATGGGCATGCAGTGTATGCATGACATCCTCATTCCCTATTGGAAATACCATTAATAGAGATTAATATGGAACTCACTTAAATGGCAGTTGTTTTATATTCTACAAACTTTCTTTTCTGCCATGTAAAAACAAAGATTCATTCTTATCTGGATGACAAACTTGCCACCCCAACTAATGATTAGAAAATGCCACACCCTTAGTTATATAGTACTACAATTACAAACATTTTATTTTCATAGTCTGATTCACTATTCCGTTTGTGAAGAGATGGAAGGTCAGGAAGTTTGCATGAAAAGTATCCAATGATTATTTTTAGGCTGGTGGAAAATAAGAAATCAGATAAGCATATTATTGGCAAAAAGACTGAGCCAGTCCCTTTTTTTTTTAATTTCACATTTTTTCCAGTGTTTAAAATATTCAAGGTTATGTACAAAAATACAAAAAGCTGTTATACAGTAGTTTTTTCTTTGTTGTATAGTAACTATACAATCTATACCATAGTCTATTCCAGGGGTATCAAACTGCTGGCCCGCGGGCCGGATGCGTCACAAGGAAACCGTGCCCACCCCATTGCCGGCAATGGGGAAAAAGCTCCGATACGTCATGTGACATCACACGACGTCACGAGTTTGACATGTCTGGTCTATACTATTGATTGTATAGTTATAGCAATCAGACAGCATTAAAACAAAGAGTTCATTTAATTAAAAGCCATGCCCTTACCTACATGTACATGAAGACACAGAGTTTTTAGTGCAAGAAAAATCATAACATCACATATGTTGCACAATTAATCAATACTTTGGAAAGACTCACATCGAAGAATCAATGGAGGAAAGCAACTTTATATAATTAATTCTTATAAGGTTCAAGAAATAGATAAAGTAGATTTAGAAACACAAAGAATAGAACAGAATCAAATATATACTTTTATATTTTATATTTTATATTAATTAAAAACTGTTAATTTAAAATATTACCAGAAAGCACCAATGAATTATTTTAAATAACTACAGATACATCTAATTATTTTTCCACAGTTATATTAGATTTAAGTTGTTCCTTCGTTATCCAAACAAATGAAAAGATTCTAGTTTGAATTCTCTAAAAGTAATACAAAGTTGGAATGAAAAGGAAGAGATTTCAGCACATTAATGGAAGTGCCAAAAGAATAGAGACAATTTGTAGTCAAGATTATCCACTAAAACATAATATTCTTGATTTTCAATAAAACAAGCTATACTATTGTTATCAAGTTCATAGCAATTTCATTACTTACCTGGAATCTGTTTAGACTCTTTCATTTCTAATATGTCTTTAATGTATAGTCTTGCAAAGCATGAAAATATGGGATTCAAACCCCATAAAAGTGATGGGACCTCATCTTCTGTAGCTGCAGCAGACATTCCAAAATGATTTAGCTCCAAGAATAGATTAAAGTTGATATGAAATAAGTCTGATGGAAGCAAAGCATATGTAATATAAACCTTCAGATGCAGCATAATTTTAATTGTGCTCTGCACAAATAAATATATCATAGGATGTGAGCTGAAATAGACTACAATCAACAAAAAAAAACCTGAAAAAATGCTGTCTTTCAAAAATATTATATCTAATTATGTAAAAACTTTACTGTTATAATACGGAATCTGGAAAATAAAAAGGACATACTTTAAATTGGGAGTAGTCAAATGCAAAATTTCTACATGTTTCTCCACATAGGCCCTCAACCATCACTGGAAGGCTTATAGCAGTTTACGCAAACTTATAAATTCTGGCATGTATTAATAAGTAGGATACCTTTTCGGAATTACACATGTTACAGGGAAACAAAATTCAATCCATCAGCTCCTAAAATTCTGTTGTTTTAGAATATAGGTAAAAAGACAGCTATTTGAGAATTTAGGCAGTTCCCATTTGGTTTCTCTCGTTTCATGTTATTTCAATAGGGGGAGAGCACTTATTTTTACTTCTTCCATTAATTAATATTCTGACTGCCTTTAGCTTTTTTTGGGAGGTTTGTCATTATAAAAGTTTAAAAATATTGTATGATATTAAAAATATCTACTAGTATTAATAGTCTTTTACTGAAGTCATTTACAAGAATGTTTAAAAACTTGAAATTCAAGCTTTAAAATGGATATAATTAGCTCCATAGTGGTTGGTTTACCTTCTGAAAAAAATAATGGGAAGGCCTATTAAGGAAGTATAAACACACACAATTAAGATCCAGAAGACTTAGCATGATTTCTAAAAGGGAAACTATGTTAGACTATGTCAAGCATACATACATAGCAAAGATAGGCAAATAGGACCAGGGAGAGCTATCAAACAACAGCTAACCCTGGCTTTATATAATGCAGAACTGTCTTAAAACAAAACAAGCTGCTTTTTTCCAATGCCTCTACCTGAAACCTTTTACTTGGCCTAGCCATTCGGTTTCAGCAGAAATGTCTTCTGCATATGTGAGTGCAGAAGACTACTAAGGTTTAGTATGGCTGGCTTCCATGTTCAATAGCAGTTCCAAAACAGTGCTTAGAAGTAGAAAATATCTGCAAGCCTTCATTAAAATATGTTTTAATTAAGCATTATCAAAACAATATATCCATATGAGGCTTCACACAAGCTTACCTATCTACTCCCCTATACCTAATACAGCATCTATAGAGAAAACATGAATATGTGAGTTCATACTTTTGCACTAATGAATGGAAAGTTTAATATCAGCAATAATAAGGATCATGAAATTGGGGGTGTAAATGAAAATATGGAATGTAATATAAAATTTAGATAAGAACTGCAGATAGGTCAACGCATACTTTGCCAATGTGACCTGTCCTTCATGCTAGATCAAGGTACACTTCCTCTCTTCCAGTAACATTAATAGAGCAATTAGAAATATAACATCAGTCATTAAAGAATGACTCCTGTAGTTTCAAATATAAATTTTTTATTATTTTCATCATAAAAAAAAAGCACATCACAAATACATCACAATGTAAAAACCCTACCCACCCCCACCCCCCCGGACTTCCCAAACCAAATCCCAGGCTAATATTCAAATATAGGTAAACAAATATTAATATCTCTAACTCCACAAGCTCTATTTATAAACAATCCATCTCCTCCACATTAATAAAAAAATTATACATTTAAGTAATTCAAATACACCAAGGTCTATATCAATTCAGCAGGTATCACCAGTAACTCTTCCTCTCTATTAAAACATGATTATCATATTTATAGTAATAATGTAAGTGCATTTCAATTTCTAAAAAATATATTCTAACATTTCATCAA